AAGGCAGGTGGGATTTCCATAGGCCATAAACGGACAGCACCGTAGTCGGAGGCAGGAGCCCAAGTGGCACTTTATGCAGGTCGAACTTCCCCAAATGTCACAAAACCCTTTGAAAGGGAAGTGTCAGTGCCACCTGAGAGTGGACAGTCCCTGAAGGGTGTGGTCGGGGGGGGGGCAGATGGGGTCGGCTGGTGGAGACCTCGAGGGGTGTGTCATGTGCTGTGAGGACTGGGGGGTGGGGGGCGCTGTCAGATCTGCTCTAGGAAGCGCTTCCTTTCACGCTTTCACGCCCCACCTGTGTGGCTGCGTTTAAACTCGGTGGCTGCGTTCTTCACGTTCTTCTGTTCACCGTCAGAAATCAAAGGCCTCGACCTACATTCTCTGCTTCCCGGGGGTTTCCTACAGCAGCTGCCCGGCCAGCCGTGGGTTAGTGCGGCCTCAGAGGAGGGGTCCTTTCAGACCCTCGGGCGCCAGGGTGACGCTCCGTGATTCCGCCCCTGTGCCGGGGCGGCCTGGGACGCCAGGAGCAAGAGTGAGGGCCGGTGCACCGACGGCACCGGTTCCCGGGCACCCGCGGACCCCGCGGGTCTGAACACCTTGCGTTCTCGGGAGCCCTGATCACACGTTCCAGAACCTGTTCCTTTTGAGTGGTCCTGGGTTTCTGGTTTTGTTCTTTCTCGTTTAATTCCACATTCCTCTTATTTTCTTTTTCATTGCATCTCTTTCTTCAGTTGCGATTTGAGACTTCATCGTAGTGTAGTTAATACAAGTAGCACCGCCAATAATCAGAAAGTTTCGACTCCATGGAGGGAGACTGTGACGTTTTATAAGAGTTGGCTTAATTTTCCTAACTTAAAATACTAATACATTTGTTATTGATGTTATTTTACCCCAACAGTAATAATCTAGCCTTATTACAGACCAAAACACATTTTGTTATAATGCGTTTTACGTATTTAACATTTTGCTTTCTTTGGCCAAACTTCTTACATTAAAAAAAAAAAAATGTGTGGACGCCTGGGTGGCTCCCAGCCAGTTAAGTGTCTGACTCTTGATTTCAGCTCAGGTGATGACACCGTGGTTTGTGCGTTCAAGCCCCATGTCGGGCTCTGTGCTGACGCATGGGGCCTGCTTGGGATTCTCTCTCTCCCTCTCCCTGTCCCTTCCCTGCTCACTCACTGGTGCTTGCCATCTCTCTCTCTCTCTCTCTCTCTCTCTCTCTCTCCCTCTCTCTCTCAAAATAAATAAACTTAATAAAAAATAAATTTAAAAAAATTTTAAGTGTTGTAGGTCCTCCTCAAAACCTGTGCTCCCAGCCGAATTGTGAGGAGCACATCAGACATGCTGGTCAAGGGCTTCCTCCCAAGCGCCTCCTAGGTCTCCTCAAGACCACCCAAACGAGGAAGGTCCGGGAAACCGCCTCGGCCAGGAGGCACCGTAGGAACCAGGACTGAGTGTCCCGAGCTACCTTGGAGGAAGAAGGACCAGGGACAACCGCATAACGCATGGACTTCCGGTAACAATTTGTGCGTTACGATCTTACCAGCTCGTGAACGGCACAGAAGTACCATACTGACGAAAGACACTGGTGAAGGGGGAAACACGTGTCTCCTGTCGTGGAGGCCGGGGTGTGTTTTGGTGGGGACCCAGGGAGCCCCCATCACACCCCCCTCGCTGGCTGAGGAAGCGCACACGGAGGAGACCTCAGCGAGCCCAGCTCCCCACCAGTGTCCGGCTGTGTGTGTGAGCAAGGAAGGCCTGGGGCCGCCTGCGGGAAGTCAGAGCCAGGCCGGAAGTCTGTCTGGACTTGGAGGGTGCTCCCCAGCCACACACAGATTGCTAGCAGGGGGTGGGCATCCTGCGGCCTTCCTGACCCTTCCTCAGGCAGTGCAGGTTCCTCAGAGTATAAAATGAAGGTGATGAATCTCTACTGATACACACACGTTGACAGTAGTTCCGTCCAAAAGAATTCTAAGTAGTTTATGTAGACACCCTCTCCTCAAGGAAGCGGCGCATTACTCCTGACCCTCTGAATACGGGCTGTGCGTCCACACTTCCTCACAAAGGCTGCCATGTGGACAGAGGAGAGAGTAACTCCATAGAGAAACCCGGCAGCTGCTGCCTCAGCCAGGCGGTAAGTCAGGCCGTCGACGTGGGATGAGGCAGCACCTTACCTTGGGGTGTCACCTTCCCAGAACGCACAACCCCGAGACCGAGATCGTGAGAGAAGCATCATGCAAATCCGAACTGACCCGCTTTGGGAAGCCTCACACGGAGACCGCACACAGTAGTTCTTAGCTGAATGAACGGGCCTAGTGGATGAGTCAGATCCTGGTCATTCAAAGAATTGGTCGCCCCAGGGGGAGAAGAATATTCAAGCTACACAGACCGCTATGGGTGAGCTGTGCAGTGACAGCTGAAGAGAAATCCAGGTACACCTTCAGAGGAGGCGGCCAGGCTTCCTTGCCTTTCTGACCCCGGGGGGCCTGTGTGCCCGCGTGATCTTACGTGGTCCCGGGTTTCTCCTGCCACGGGGCGTCTCTCCAGGTGCCCCCTTCTCCACCAGCGCGAGCATGGGGGTCAGGACGGCGCCTGTGCTGCTCACCGGTATGTCTCAACACCAGGGGCACGGTGTGGACCGTAGCACGCACATCAGACGGGGGGCTGCAGCGTTGCCTTGAGAAGTGGTGGAGTCTCGGACGTGGATTTGAATCTGCTTTGGTTCCTTCCTAAGTGCCAACTTCAGGCCGGTCCCTCAGCGTCTCGTCGCCTCAGTCTGCTCGTGTGTAGAGGGAAGAAATTAAGGCGTTTCCCCTCAAAGTCGTTCTGTACGTTACAGGAAGTAATATATTGTCGCACCCAGTATGCAGTATAAAAACGCTTGGCCTGCGCAAGCCACTCGAGCGTTCACCTTTTTGTGTGGATAATTTGGCATCTGAGGCTGGGTTGAGATTCGGAAAGGAAAGATAGAGAAAGATGTTTATGTTGAAGCAGAACATACAGACAAGAAAGTGAGATTAAATACAGCAGGGATCTTGGCAGGGAGCTGCCTGCCTGACATGGGGACGGGAAGCTGGAAAACAGAGAAGCCGGACCATGGAGGCTCGTGAATGCCAGACCAAGATGACATGCTATTCCACGCACAGGAGGGGAGGTACTTGAGAAGGGGACTGGCCAGGAGGTGACGGGAATGGTAGCGTTATGAAGTATGGTGCCTGGGAGAGAGGTCAGGAGTGAACACCGAGATCTGGGGGCATCCACGTGGTTTGTCATGAAATCGGCAAACCAGGCAGCACAAAGCGAGTGTTTACAATAGTAGGAAATACAAAGAATACCAAGGGCTCCTTCCCACAGTCGAGAAGCTTGGTCAGTGTCACGCTGTTGAACACTTATTTTGGTAATTACTAATCACAATAAAGTAAACGTTTTCCCCACGTAAGCTTAGTTTTCCCCAAATGTACTATCAGCTGGGCTGAGGGAAGTTGTCAGAGAAGTCTCTTGGACATAGTCTTCTTAGAGCTGAACCCTGAAGACCGGTCAGGAGCAAGGCCACTGCTGGCGGGGGCGGGGGCGGTGGGCGATCGCCCTGGCTGAGAACGCAGCTTTGGAAGCTAGAGGTGTCTGGGCCTACGTTCCGGTGCCACAACTTCTCAGCCGTGTCCTTAAGCTGAGCTCAAGTGCGGGAGGATCTCACGGGGCCAAGAAGAGATGGGCAGGGTACTAAAGAGGCAGGAGACGGCGGGTGGACGTCCTGTGGAAGAAGCGGCCTTCGCACTTAGGAAGGGACTAAGGGGAGCTCGCAGCCGCAGGGACACCGGGGCACGGGCACTTGGCAGGCGAGGCCGGGAGCCGAGGGGCTGCCCCTTTGAGGCCGGGGCTCGTAGGGGGTTGTCTTTTCCGAAAGCCGTTGGAGTGTTCTCAGCAGGGGGCTGACTTGATCAGATCCAGTCTGGATGCAGTGTGGGCCGCTGCTAAAGAGAACGAGATTGAAAGCAGAGAGACCAGTCAGGAAGTTGGGGCGTTTATCGGATCTGGGCCAGCAGCTGTGGAGGTAGAGCCACGTGGATGGATTAAGTAGGCATTTGTGGTAAACTCTGCAGTGCGTCGTGACAAATGGGTGAGGGCGGCGGAGGCGGTGGGACGAGGAGGAGGCCCAGATTTCTGCGTCATCGGTTGGATGGTGGTGGTGGGCAGTTCACATATAAATATACCGTAACTCCCCTCATGATACATATGTGCCGTAACCCCACGATACAAATATGCCATGCCCCCCATGATACAAATATGCCGTGCCCCCCACGATATAAATATGGTATAACCCCCCTACAATATAAATATGCTGTAACCCCCCACGAAGTAAATATGCCATGCCCCCCACGATACAAATACACCGTGCCCCCCATGATATAAATATGCCATACCCCCCCACGATACAAATATGCCGTGCCCCCCACGGATCATTGCCATCCCTTTCACCGTCAGCTAACCTTTACAGAGATTTAAATAATCTGCGTGTATGTCCACATGGCTACTGTTTTCAGCGCTTTGTCTCCTTGTGTAGATCCATACTTCCATTGAGCAGTTGTGTAAATTTTGTATTTGTTTGTAAGTTATGTATTTTTATTAGCACTGCATTGTGACCTTGCTAATAAACTCATTTATTTTTTTTTTTTAGGTCTGGGAGCTTTTTTTGTAGATTCTTTGGTATTTTCTGTGTTAAAAAAAAAAATCACACAGTCTGCAAATAAAGACAGTTTGACTTTCTCCCACGCTGTCTGTGCACCTTCAGTTTTCTCCTTGCCTTACCACAGCGGTGAAGGCATCCTGCGCAGCACAGAATCAGCACAATTCTGTGAACATCTTTGCCTTCTCACTCTTGCAGGGAAAACTGCTCATGGTTTCCATGAAGTCTGTGGCTGCAGAGTTTTCTCATGTACTCCTCAGCTGATGAAGAAGTCCTTCGTCACTACTGACATCTGCCTTTTTTCTTTCCTTTGCAGCAGAAGACTCGGAAAGTGGCGTCTACATGCGCTTCATGAGGTCACACAAGTGTTACGACATCGTTCCCACCAGTTCAAAGCTTGTGGTGTTTGACACAACGTTACAAGTAAGTGTGCATGCACTGCCCAGGTGACTCCTCCTCGGGGAGTTCAAGTCCAGCAACACCAGCACACGCTTCCTGAGCCCCGGCCACGTGTGGGGTGTCACGTTCCCCACAATGCCGTGGTCCATGGTTGGACCCCTGTGGCAACCGTGGACAGAAAGTGCCACCACCATCCTCTTCCTCCAGATAAGGACCCTCGTTCTAGAGTCCGAGAGCTTAAATCATAAAGTTTAGTCCACAGATCCTTGAATTGAATAACATAATCCACACAGCTGGTAAGAGATGGGGTCTCAGGTATTAGAGCCTGAGCTGTTAACCGTGAAACTGTACCACGGTGTATCCTGAGCTTTTCTCTCAGTTATTTAGTAGAATGTATGATACATTAATTTGAAATAATATTGGTTAAAAAGAAAAAAATTACTAAGGTAGTTAATCTCTTGAGGGACAACTCTTGATCACTTTTAGCAGAAACATTCGACCCTGATCATTTTGGTATTAAAATTGTGCTTGTCGGAGCTCATTTTGTACCAACATGACTTATAATCATAGATGAAAAATCCTAAACGATACGTTCAGTGTAATGATCAGATTACGTCCAGTGTAGTAAGTGTACATACATATGTGTGTGTGTGTGTGTGTGTGTACATATATGTGTGTGTATGTATATTGTGTGTGTACATATATATGTGTGTGTGTACACACACACACACGTAGGTATCTAGTGTCTGTATTTGTGTATAAATCTTTACAAAGGAGTGTCTTCACTTGTGCTCCCAGAAGCAGCCGCTGAGCCAGGAATTCGTGGGCTCCTGGGAGACCTCCCCACCCCCAGGGGACTGGAGGAGAAGCCGGGAAGGCAGAAGCCCTTCCAGGGCGGGTCACGGGCAAAGGCCTGAGCTGCCCCCCCCGCCCCCGGCAGAACTCAGGTCGGGGAAGGTGCCCCTGTGAGCCCCCCCCCGGCCTCTGGCAGTCCGTCCGGGGCCGTCCTGGGAGATGGGTGCCCAGACGGAGCCAGCTCTGCGCCACGCTCCGGGCCTCTCCTCCTCCCTCCTGCAGCCTGGTCCGCTGTCCCTCCCAGCCACTTGTCCCTGCGGCTCGTCAGAGGACACCACACACACTCACTGTGGGCTGCACGGGCCTCAGGACCGTGACAACAGCTTGTGCTTGTGTAACATCATTTCCCAGCTGTGTGTTTGTCATCATCGAACTACAACTGATTTCTGGAAATCGATCTTACGTCCTGTGACTTAGCTAAGTTCTCTTCAGACCAACTAACCTTCAAGGTTTCTTCTGAGCCCCTGAGACCCTGTGATCCTTTGTCACAACGAGAATGGGGAGGCGTCCATCATGCTTCTGTCCAGAGAGCTTGGCAGACAGGCAGTGACTTTGGGACGTACAGCCTCCGCCGCTGTGGCTGCACCTCTCAGCAGTAACACCGCTGGTAATTCTCAGTTCCCAGGTAAAGCGCTACTAGATCAGCCTACCTCACCCTTGTTCCCAATCCCCGAAAGGGGTGTTAGTTTTTCAAGAACCGCATCCCTGACCCTGGGGTTTCCACCAGTAGAAAAGTGAGCAAAGGCTGGTAAGACCTGCATCTGCTTTCGCTCCTGCCCGGCCTTTCCCTTGTCAAGGAGTTGACAAGTCTCCTGAATTTAAAATTTAGCCAAGTGAGGATAAGTGAAAGATGCGATGTTTTGTGGATTATGGGAGGTCACTGATCCAGTCCTGTCACCCCTCTAATTAGTAGAAGCTGCATGCATCATTCACTGGGAGTCGTGAATCCTGTGAGGCGCTCGGCTTTGAAGGAGCTGGAGTTTGTCCCCAAGGAAGTAGGGGGCGGGGGGCTGTCGTGGGTAGAGCCAAGTTAAGCATTTGAAGGGTGGGAGTAGAGCATTTTGTAGACACAGACTCAGGAGTCCGTCTCCAGAGCATAGGAAGCCAGGGAGTGCAGCCCAGGGAGACCCGCGTGTCCTCGCTAAGAGACGGTGACGTGAGTCCTGGCGTGGGCGTATCGTAGAGCGCCACAGAGCCCTTAGGAAGGATGGGAAGATGTTTGTCAAGAATACATTTTTAAGGGGCAGCTGGGTGGTTCAGTTGGTTAAGTGTCTGACTCTTGATTTAGGCTCAGGTCATGATTCCCCAGTTGGTGAGTTCGAGTCCTGCACCAGGCTCCACGCCGAGGGTGTGGAGCTGGGTTGGGATCCTGTCTCTTTCTCTCTCCCCTCCTCCCTCCCCACGAACACACTGTCTCTCCCCCTCCCTCCCACCCACCTCTCTCTCTCTTTCTCAAAATAAGCAAATAAACTAAATATATATATATATATATATATATATACAAACTAAAAAAAAAGCAAGCTGCAGAATAACACATGTATTATGACCACGTTATTCTGAGGGGACAGAGCATCAGAGTCGTAACTCCTGGGCACAGATGGGCCTGTGAGACTGGAACAGACATGTGGAGAAGGTTCAACTGAATGAAAGCCCCCTCACCCCCCAGGGGAGGAGAAAGAAGAGCCTCAGACACGGGTTTAGTCCCACCTTGGGTCCCTGAGCAGCCAGCTGGGCTCCCGTGGGGAGGTCTGCAGACCTCCCCCCGCTGTCGTGCTGGTGTGAACAGAGGACCAGCATCGGCCGTGGCGCCGGCAGCCCCCGTCCCGGGCTGTCCCCGTACGGAGCGGTCGGTGCCCCCACTGTGTCCCCACTGGGCCCCGCCTGCCACGAGGCACGTCCAGAGAGCGAGCTGGCTCCTTCCTCGTGGGGAGCACTCCCAGGCCGTCAGTGTGGACCGAGGAAGGGGAGGCATGCGGGCTCCGTCCCCAACATGCCGTGTCCGCTTGCCGAAGGTGGCTGTGGCACACGCTCAGCAGCGTGGATCGACAGATGACACCCGTCACGGGAGCTCGGGCTACATGGCTGCCAGGCACCCCACGGGTCATCGTTCCGTCCCCACCAGGCCCGAGTGGCCGCCGGGAACAGTTTCTCAGAAAGAAAGTGACAGGCTGCAGGGGAAGGTGCGGTGTTCCGTGGCTGACTTTCCACACCGTGGACAGGTGCCTCGCGGGGCTTCATGTAGGATCCCTGCTGGCAACTTTGCTGGTGACAGGCCCGTGTGGACGAGGAGCCTGGACTGGCTCCAGTCACTCAAAACACCTTCGTACGTGACTCAGCCCGTGCGTGAAAGTAGCCGCTCACAGGTGCGTGTTGCTTCCAAAGGACCTCGCCAGAGGTGTGTGCGTGCAGGGCACTCCTGAATTCCACCTGGAGGAGCTGGTGCTGATGCTCCCGGCCTCCCCTCCTCTTGAAAACCCCCCTCGTTTCCTTCCGCGTCACTGAGGCATCTGAAGCCATCCTGCCTCCTGCCCGTCAGAGCCAGTCCGCACCGTGTCGCCAAGAATGTCAAGGTCGCGGGTATCCGTGCCGATGCTCTAGGGCAGAGAGCACGAGGGCAACGTAGCCTGGCGGCACGTGGTCCAAGCGTCCTGTGCCAGGTGCCGGCACGCTGCTTCGGGGGTCCCTGTACACTGCTGTGAAGAGAAAGCTGTGTCCGGGCAGTAGCAACATCTGGGACCCCACCCAAGATTGAGGCGGGGCGGGGCGGGGGGTGGGGGGGAACAGTAAGAATTACGTAGGCCTTCCCTATGTAATTTATTTTTTTAGCAACACTCTACAAACAGTAACTATTTTTAATAGACTTGTTTATCTTAGAGTAGTTTGGGATTCGCAGAGAGCTATGAAGGGAATACGGAGTTCCCAGACAGGTTCCCACGTTTCTGCCATCTTCCATCTGTGTGGCAATCACTTGGCACGGGTCACGAGTTGGCGCATAATCATCACCTGACTTTTAAAGTCTAACATCATTTTTCTGTCCGTGGATCCCACTGAGGTGGTTCGGGGAGATTTGGTCATCGCGTCTCCTTAGGCTCCCCGCGGCCACGGCAGCTTTTCCAGACTTGCCTTGCTTCTGTGGCCTTAACGGTTTTGAGGAGCACTGGGCAGATAATTCTGTTGACACTGTCCTGATGTTTTCCTCGTGGTCAGACTGGGACTGGGAGCCTAGGAAGGAAGACCACGGGGCTACAGTGCCGTTCGTACCCATGATCCCGGGGGTGCGTACTGGTAGCACATGTTATCACCCTTGACCTTAACTGTGGTCACCTGGCTCAGGTGGTCTGCGTCAGGTTCCAGCACTTCCCTACTGTCCTCTGAGGAGGAGGTCGCTGGGCACAGCCCACACGTACAGGGTGAGGAGTTCTGTTCCACTTCCTTGGGGACGCAGGAGCTATGTAAGTTATCTTACGTACAATCAATAAGCTGATTGATATAAATAACTTATTAACGTCCCATTTCTTTATTCAATCCTATATGTCAACATAGATTTGTAAATGTATGTGTTCCATTCTATTATGATTCATCACTACTTCGTTTTCTTGTTCAAACTATTTCAATCAGTGTCATTATTAACAAGGCCAAAAAAAGTGCAAACAGCAGGCATCCAAATAAGTGTTTGCTAAGCACGAGTTTATAGAACATGTAGAATTTAAAACGAAGAGCATATGATCAAAAGCAAGCTCAGGGAAGAGCAGGCCGAGGGGGGGGGCCACCCACAGTCTCCTTAACTGGGGACCAGGATTGAGATCCAGAAGTGGAAAGGGCACAGGGCTGGCTTATGTAAACAGCCAGAAGGAACGAGAAGGCCAGCCTGTTGCTCAGGGTTCATGCTGCAGGTGCTACTAAAGGGAAAGTAGAACTCTTCATCTCTTTTTGAACTCTTTCCGTGTCAAGGACAATGATCTTCAGAAACGGGGAAAGTGCAGTAAGTGGTGGTTGGAGGAAGCTGAACCCTGAGACGGGTGTGGAGATTACGAGAGGGTGCCTGCCTGTCTGTGCTAAGCCAGTGTGCTTTCTGATCCGGGCAAGTCACGTTCTTGTGTAATAAGGGGGTGTAGAGAGCAGACTGCCCAGCTGTCGGTGACCTCAGTGGAACTTTGGCTGGAGATGAA